TAACTAATCAGAACATGACACGTGGACCTATGGGGACCGCCTTGGGCGCGTATGGGGACCGCCTTGCGTGCGTATCACGCATCTGTTGGGAGTGTGTTCTGCACGCGCTATGTGTGGTCCAGCCAAAATGCGCCACATGTCCTAGTGTCTTTTCTTATCATGATTTCAATCCGTTGTAATTTTACAACAATTTTTTGCTACATATTAACAACATTTTTATCTATTTAAATAACGAAAGATCCAATATTTAAAAATAGTATCAAGAATGACTGAAAAGGTAAACACCTTCATTAAATCTATTAAACTGTTGATAATACTTTATCAACACCTCCATTGCTGATAGTCTGATAATCTAACACGTGTTCCAATTCATATGAGACAAAAAAAAATTTAACCAAAAAAGTGATTATGTAATATATTAAAAATAATACTTAAGTTCATAAATGAATTACATGCAGTTTATATTTTGTGTATGAATTGAACATATTTGAATTGTTAAGACCATAATTACAAAAGATCAATTTAATCCAAACCTCCTTTGTGGAGAGACCAATTTTGTCAATTTTTGTTTGTTTTTGGAGACATCAACCAATTTCCTCTAACATGGAGAGAACAATTTCGCTGTTTTTTTTTTCCTTTGAAAAAATTTATACTATTAAACTCCTCTTCTAAAGTTCGGTTTTAAAGATATTAAGATTTCAAAGACTTGTTCGCTCGTCTGAAAAAATAGAAGAGCAAGCACAATTCCTCTGAATCAGACCGAGAGATAAGATACTTTTCAAATTGTTATTTTGGAAGAAATTTTCGGTTAGTATTTTATCTAAAATATATAATCACTAAAAATTCAAATACCGCACTTTCTAAAACTTGTTGTTAGTCACACAAAACTTGTTGTTTAGTATTTCTAAAAATTCAAATACCAAACTTGTTGTTAGTCTCATGAAAAACAGTGTTGTTACTCAAACAACTGTATGTTTTTAATGTCTATATCCACACACGCAATGTATCATGTTTTGTACAGAATACTTTATCAATACATCACATCAAGCAACTAAGGAGTGGGCCACCATAACACTCACATTCGCACATATACAAATAAACTAACCATGGTTACTTCAGCCACAGCTACTCTTATTATTATATATATATGTATTGTGAGTTTTTTGATAACTTGTATCTCATTCTTTTTCTTTCTTGTCCTCTAACAAAATGCCTGATTGATCTTTCAATTCAAAGAGCAAAAATATTAAGGCTTTTGGAGAAAAACTCTCCGGCTATTGCAATGCGCAAGTTGCCACGGTCGTGTTCACTCTGGGCACCGGCGTACCGGTGATGAATGCATCGTCGCAGGGGTAATTATCCTAGATCTTTTTTTTAAATCCTAACAAGTATATAAGATCTAATACATTTGCTATTTTGCTAGAGTGGAGCAAGTTCTAAATAATTTTGGGTACCAGCAAAGGATTTCCGGTTGCATGGCTAGGTACCAAAGCAGTGTCGATGCAGCCAGTGCCAACGTTCCAAACATGACGCCCGCAGAACTTGTTGAGTACCATGCAATGATACTTTTATTTTTAATTTAGTTTTTCATAACACATACTGTAACTTATACATCATAAAAGTCACCAGTCAATTGCATAAATAAAAATGTTAATTCAAATTTATACAGCAAACTCATTACATTATTCTGCAGTTTTTACCACATATTTTTACAGCAAGTTACAACAAAATTAAAACACAAACAACTCAACTTTGAGATCACATGCTATCAGTCGGAGCCTATGTCTCTAATCACGACTTGTCACGTGTCTCCTTATTACTTCATTCATTCGGCTGAATTAATTCAACCAAAGCAATCCACATATTTTTCAACCTCCAAATTTAACTTGCCACTGCACTTATTCAACGGTTGAATCATGTTTTTCAACCCCGCCATTGTAGATAGTCTTATACAATAAGTTAAATAAAAACGAACAATTTACTTGAAAATTGCGCTAGATTTGCCACAATCTTTTTAAAATCCTAATAACAAGCTTAAACAACAAGAATGAGAGACAATAAGAGCTAAAACAACACGAATGAGATATATTCTATTTTAATACTCCCATCTCTAAATGAAAAAGTGATAAGTGTTTTACATATTGCCAAATTTTGGTATTTTATACATAAAGAACTTGAATATATTTAGTTATCGTGTATAGATATGCTAATTCATCTCTAAACTATAAAAGAATTGTGTATGTTACTCCAGATATGTAAAACATTGTATTTTGTTGAAGAAAACATTCTTGTCAAACTCAAAATCAACTTTTCCAATTGTTTTTTGTTTCCGACCAAATCATATGAGTTTTACGTGAATGTCATGTAGTTCTCTAAAAAAACTTCACCTATGTTTTTATGTTCTTCACGTGTATGTTGTTTTTACTGAATATTTTTTTTAATGGTTGGTTCCATATGCCCGATTTTTTTTTTTACCTTGTTTTGAGTTATATTAGTTAAGATATGTGAAATGGTAAAAAGTTAGAAAAGTAAAAATTCTTTAATTTTTA